GTGGAGGACCTTTTGCTTCTGTCACTGATCAGGAAACAAACAAGAGATCAAACGGGCCTCAACCCCAGCAAGACGCACTGCTACTTAGTGCAAAGATGAAGAGGACAGATGCGCTGGCACATCTGGAGAAGCTAGTCAGTGGACTGCAGGACTTTCTCCAAACCAAGCAAAATGTCCACAAGGAGATCAAGTCGAAGTCGACGAACATCTGCAGTGCCCTGAGACGGTTCAAAAAACTGGACCAAGATTGGCAGAAGATCCAACAACAACACGGTAATATCGTGATGAGGATGAGTGTGACAGCGGTTTCACCTGCAAAAGCTGACACGTTTGTCGAGGAGATGGACAACGGAGTCGAAGGTGACGGTGAATCAGTCGCTAAAGACAAGGGTGAAACTGACTCAAGGCCTGGAAAGAGAAAAGACCGAAACTCGCCAGAGTCAACCGACAAAGTCACTAAGAAGAAGGATCTGAAAAAAAGTCCTCCCCAACAACTGGCAGGACAGGGCGACGAACCCAAGAAGACGACTGACTGGGAAAAAGTACAGTCTTAGAAGGAGAAGAGAAGGCTAGCTAGAGAGCAACTCTCAAAGCAGCCGCCAAAGGAGCCAAGGCCAGAGCCTAAGCGGAAAAAACCGCGCAAATGGATCAGACCCGACGCACTGATCATCCGCCCGGCCGAGAAAACAAAGTATGCCGAGATTCTGCGTCGCATAAAGCAGGACGTCCCAGATGAGCAGGTTCGTTTAACTGTGGATAAGATCAACAAGACCAGAAGTGGGGACTTGTTGATTACGATTTCGAGGAAGAGCACTGACAAAGGCAAGGGTCTGCAAAAGACGATCGCGGACATCTTTAAGGAGGAGGCCAAAGTGATTTGCAAAAGGCCACAGGAAACTATCGAGATGTCGATGATGACACGACGAAAGAGCATATTCAGACCGCTCTAAAGAGGGAAGCTGGAGAAAATTGTGAAATCCCACTAGAAGCAATCAAGATCCGTAAAGCCTTTAGGGGTACACAGACAGCCATAGTGTCACTACAAGCAGCTGCAGCACAAAAGTTACTGGAGGGAAATTGCAAAATAAGGATAGGCTGGTCGAATTGCCGAATGAGAGCAACGAAGAGACCCATACAATGCTTCAAATGCTGGCACTTTGGGCACATCGGATCCCAGTGCAAAAGCGAAGTCAACCGGTCTCAGCACTGCATAAGGTGCGGAAAAGAAGGACACAAAATTGCTGATTGTAAAAATCCAGCTAAATGTGCACGGTGCGTTGAACGGCACGGCGTAGAAAAGGCGACTCACCACGCAGGCTCGAATAGATGCCCCGTCTTCCAAGAAGCGCTCCAGAAGATAACGACGCCAAGAACATGAAGATATTGCAGCTCAATTTCAATCATTGTGAGGCTGCGCATGACCTGCTCATGCAAACTGTGCGCAAATTAGAGGCAGACGTAGCACTTATAAGTGAGCCTTATAGACACTTGAGTAATCAACCCTGGGAATCCGACAGCACTAACAAAGCCGTCATCTAGTCCTGCGGTAAATGTCCTTTTCAGAGAACAGCCAACAACAAAGAAGCCGGCTTCGTAGCAGCATGGGTAGAGATTTTATGTATCTTTTTAAAACCAATTTCTAATTTATGTATCTTTTAAAAATTCGCGGGTGATGATGTTAGATTATTTTGTAACGTGGTTGTAATGTCACATGGTTATTTTATCTGCGGTTATTTTGTCGCGGTTATTTTGTCCGCGGTTATTTTGTCGTCCGGTTATTTTGTCGCGGTTATTTTGTCCGCGGTTATTTTGTCGTCCGGTTACTTTGTCGCGGTTATTTTGTCGCGGTCATTTCGTCCGCGGTTATTTTGTTATGGCACCCCCCACGAACACAATCTGTGTTTGACTCAGTCCGTCGTTTTTTATTTTACTAGAGACTACTGAAACGCCATCTGATACCGCGATAGTAATTTACTTTTTAACGTTCATGTGAATCATACACTAAAAACAACGATCAGTCCTAACCCTTATTTATTCATGTCGCAATGCAGCTGTGTTAAACGCAAAAAAAAAGTGTAATTAAAAAATATTATTTATTATATTCCTCTCAAATTCAACTTCCAGAGCAGTAGTTGTAAAAAGTATTGTATGATACAGGTGGGATAAATAGCAAATATGACAGTCGTGATTACGACATTCGCTGTAAGGTTTATGAGACATTCGTATGAAGACTCGTGTGGTTGTCGCAACTCGCCTACGGCTTGTAGCGACATCTACCACACTCGTCTTCATACGAATGTCCCATAAACCTTACGCTCATGTCGCAACAACACGACTGTCCGATTATTTGCTACTTATCCCACATGTAGCATAAATAACTATTACCAAACTTAAATTTTCAATAGTATTTGAGCCGATTCAAACCAGTAGATTGTGAGAAATCAATAATAAAATTTTTAAAAAATGTTTTTTCGGAGTAACTTTTAAACAGATGTAACGATCAATTACAAAATATATTTGTATTTTAAACATAAAACATGACGTCAAATGGTTCAAAATGAAGATTTAAAAAAAACGACCTAACTGGTGTATTTTTCGCGTAGTTATAAGCATTTAAAAAATAACCCTTGAATTCCGATAAAAATCAGTACCTCGAAAACGGATGGTCATGAAAATTTGAAAAAATTCATGAAAGCGATTTTTATCCGTTTCAAAAACATAAACTTTTCAAACACTTCAAAATAGATGACCTCAAAAAGCAAAATGCTAGGTCTATGTGAAAGGAATAAAAATTTAATAAAATTTTTACCTGGATAACTAAACGTGGACTAGTTTGGAATTGATAAAATGGTAAAAAATTGAAATTTTATTTACATATAAAATTACAAAAAATTGAAATTTTATTTACATATCTTATCTGAGTATTTATTACTCCAGTTACAACTACAATAATCATAAATTATTATTTATATTTGAATTTATTTTTTATTTGATTAACAATAAGTGTTCCAAAAGGCAATACTCCAACTTCAAAGCCTAACATCACTCCGACTCGTTTATGCAAAGGATGTTCCAGTAACAATGCAAATGATCATGTGAAGTGCCCAAAATGTGCAGCGCTATATCATCCCAGTTGTGCTAAAAACACTGTTCAAATTCCTAATGGGGGTTTTCAAAGATGCTGTGGACCTAAAAAAGCATTATCACTTGATGACATACGAGATCTCTTGAAAGAAGAAAATGGTTCCCTGCGTGAAGAAATAACCAATCTCTGTAAGTCAATTGACTTAAATACGGAAGCAGTTAATAAGAGATTGTCAACTGTAGAAAAAGCCACACAGGAAATTTCCAATATAGTTGTTACCCTTGAACAAACAACCGAATTTAACCATAACACAATAAAATCGATTTCAGAGAAGATAAATAATGACAGCAACGCTATATTTAAGGAGGTAGAAGACAGACTATCCCGTCAGAAAAACGCAATATTTTTTGGAGTACAAAAATCTAAAGATGACTCACCAAAAGTTAGACAAGAACATGACAAAAAAGTTATTTGTGAAATCTGTGCTGAGCTAGTTCCTGTTGTCACTGTCGTCGGTTCTATGCGTATTGGTAAACGTTCTGCATCTCTAACCCTACCACGTCCACTCAAGGTCTTTCTTGTGGATATGAATCAAGTTGATACCTTAATTAATGCATTGGAGAAAATAAATCGACAGACTATGAAAACGTTGCTAAAAGGCATATCCAATCCGCAGCAAATAGCTGATACATTTGCAAACTTCTTTAGTAGTGTGTACGCTCCGCTGGATGACAACATTTTTGAAGACTTTACTTTTTCTGAGCATCAGCTACTAGGAGATTTAGATTTACCAATTGATGAAGAGGTTATGAAATACATCAAGGAACTTCCTAACAAACTGACAACGGGAGTAGATGGTATTCCTTGTAAAGTTGATAAAGATTGTGCTAGATGTTTTGTACAGACGCTTGAAATGATTTTTCATTCCTGCCTGAAGAAAGGAATTTTTCCAGATGTCTGGAAAACAGCAAAAATTATTTCTATATTCAAGTCTAGAGATAATTGCAAGGTTGAAAACTATCGCCCAATCTCAATAATTCCAGCTTTTGCAAAAATCTTTAAAATGATGATCTATGATATTATTTTGCCCTACTTCAGTGGTGTAATCTCACTTTCGCAGCATGGTTTCGTTAGCAAAAGATCGACGGTGACGAATCTTCTTCCATACACACAATACATCTATGACAACATCACGAATGGAGTTCAAGTGGATGTGATTCAGACTGATTTCACGAAAGCTTTTGATAAGGTAGACATTCGTCTGTTAATTCATAAGCTTGGAGGGTTGAACATTCCAGAGAAACTTCTTTATCTTATAATTTCTTATCTTATTGGTAGAAAGAATGCTGTACTTTTCAATAGCTATTATTCAACAGAATTTGTATCGACCTTTGGTGTTCCTCAAGGATCGAACTTAGGACCATTGCTTTTTATTATATTCATTAATGACCTTGGCGAAGTTTTACCGATTTTTCTAGAACTCTTTGCAGATGACACTAAATTCTATATGCAAAGAAAATGTGCAAATGATTGTCTGTATTTACAACCCAACATCGAGACATTCGTGAATTGGTGTAAGAATAATAAGCTGACATTAAACATTCTTAAATGCTGTGTCATATCCTACACTAAGTTCAATCATATGATTCTATTTCCATATGAAATGGATGGTTCAAGTCTAATGCGTGTCTCTCAATGTAAAGACCTTGATGTTACTTTTGATTCCCAATTAACTTTTGTACCCCATTACAAAAACATTGTACTCTCAGCACGAGGATACTCTAACGTAACCTCGTAACTCGATTTTTGGGGGTTACGATTTATAAATATTTAATTTTTTTTCTGAATTATAATTGGCGTATATATCGATGAGAAAGTACTAAAACTTTGAAATTAGCGATAGACGTTCACGATTTTATAATTTGATTTTCTTGAAAAAAGTTTTTTGTTTCTCCGTAAAGTAGTGTTTTTTGAGATACGAGGTTACGTCAGAGTACCCTCGAGCACTGAAAAACCTTAGAATTTATAATTAGAATTACTTAAAAATTCAATAATCTTTTAGCAATCAAAACACTTTATGCATCCCTAGTTAGACCAAAACTTGAGTATGCTGCCCTAGTATGGTCACCTACATTTTCAAAATTTCAATTCAATTCAATTCAATTCAATCTTTATTGTATCAAAAGGACATAGTCCTATATACAAGAGGTTTGAGATATAGGTAGATACAGAAAATACAAATTTAAACTTAAGAGCTATAATATACAGTAGAACAGAGAGAAAAGATGAAGATGATATAATAAGAGTATGGATGAATGAGTGTATGTGATCAGCTGAAAGATGAGATATAGCTATCCTAAAATGTTTGCTATGACTAATATATAGTTCCGATTTAATACAAATATAATTCAGTTGTAATTCAAACATAATTCTAATATAATTCAACTATAATTCAACCACATTACTAGAAGGATTACAGATTTAAAGTCAGACAAGGGAAGAGGCTATTTCGCATGAATTTGGATTCTTGAGGGAGTGAATCAGGGAGGAAGGTTCAGAGTCAGAGGATCTAAGGGTGAAACAGCTTTGAAGATATTCAGAAAGGGTTTTCAAATTTGGCTTTTCTGTTGCGCCCAGAATTTTTCCCAGCTTGTCATGCCTCGATCCTTGTGATAACACAGTTCCCCAGAATTTGTCTCTGAGAGTGTCATAGAAGGGGCATTCGATCAGGAAGTGCATTACAGTTTCTTTTTTGCCAGACCCACAGAAATTGCAGTCCTTGAGTAGTGATAAGACGAACGTCTCACTGTTAGTCGAAATGAAGCACGAGTAATTATTGGCTAGGCGGAGTTGGACGATTGGCTTGCACAGATAGTGTGGTACTCTGTGGAAGAGTTCTGGGAGTATTTCAAACAGTAGTACAGGTAGAATGAGCTGACAGCCTGAAGAGCGAGAGTATCTTTCTCGGTCCATTCGTGCTAGGTGACTACGATGCTTACTCAAGATATTATCTTTGCGTGTTTTCCAGTGCTCCACATCTAGGTTGTCTAGCAGTGAGTCTTCGTTGATAGGCTTTAGAAGTTCTTTCAGTTGTTGAACCCAGTTGGTGCTTTTATGCTGTGTAGAGTGTTTGTTTATTTCGACTAGGCGCAGCAGGCAGATTTTGGGGAGTCGGTTGTCTGAAAGCTCCAGGATTTTAATGATCCAGTTCAAGGCCAACTGCAAAATATGTGTGCAGATATGTTGCAGGTTTAGCTCAATTCTCAAGGCATAATTCGGAGTACATCTGGGAAGTGAGAATAATTTCTTGTAAAAGGCAAGATTTGCCGATTCTAGCATTTCAATGAAGTCGGACCTAAGGCACCAGATCTGCGACATGTAAAGCAAAATGCTGCGAATCAAGCTGCTGTGTAGTTGAAGCTTGCCTTTCCAGGCGTCAGCTTTCAGCTTGGTGAGGATGGCAAGGGCTGTGCCGGTCACAACTCTGCTTTTGCTAATGGCATGGTTGGCCGTTGAGACATTGAAAATGCTCGCAGTGAAAACCACACCTAGATACGTGTAAGATTTCACCATTTCGATCTCCTTTCCATTAAACAGAAATACAGGGCATTTTTTCCGACATTTACCAGAGAAACTGATTCTTAAGATCTTAGTTTTTCACACATTGACTTGCATGGCGTTTACTTTGCAATAAGTTTCGAGAGTCTTGAGACCTTTTTGGAGGTGACTAGTTGAGCGGAGTGTCATTGCAATATCGTCAGCATACATTAAGAACAGGACAGTTATCGAGGCATTTAGACTGATTCCTTCAAGTCCCTGCTCATCGAAGAATGACGTAATGTCCGATAGGTACAGAATGAATAAGAGAGGGCTTAGCACTTCTCCTTGTAACACGCCTAGAGTTACATTAACTGGTTCAGAGAGCTGTCCGTTAACTCTCACTCTCATTTGTGCGTTATCATACAGGATCTTCAGTATGTTGATTAGTTTGGAGCTGAGGCCTAGATTCATTAGTTTTGTCCATAGTTTGTCGTGAGGGACCGAGTCAAAGGCCCGGCGAGAATCTATGAATAAGGTATATACCGGTTTACCGAACCTTAGCTGCATTTGCAGGAGAGACAGTAGGGTAAATACATTGTTTGCACATGATTTGCCGGGTTGAAAACCTGATTGTTCTTCTGGGATGATTTTTTCAGCCTCAGCCCACTTCCTAATACGCGAGCATAATATTTGCGTGAAAACTTTCGTGATGCTGTTAATTAGTGCAATACTGCGATAGTTTTCCGGGTCCGTGGGATCACCTTTTTTGAACAGCATCGTGGTGATAATTTTTGTCCAATCCAGCGGTAGTGTCTCTGTGACCAGTATTTTGTTGAAGTACGCAAGAATAAATAGCTGCCAGTTTTCCGGGAGGTTTTTTAAAAATTCATTGCTGATATTATCCATACCTGCTGCTTTGTTCGACTTGCACTTTTTGAGGCTTTCTTGAAGTTCTTCTAGCGTAATTTCTACATCAAGTTGCTGGTGCAAATCTGAGTGCCAGATTAGGTTGAAGGTGATGCGAGGTGGGTAGACTTTATGGAAGAAATTCTCCCACTCCACCAGTGCAATGCTATTCTGGCTACGGGAGCTTCTTTGAACCGATTTCACTGTATCCCAGAAGTCTTTGATGTTGCGGGTTTTGGCAAATTTAGCTTGGATAACATTGATGTATTCCTGTTTCCTTAGCTTCAAGTAACTGTAATAGTCTTTTTTAGATTGGAGATAGATTGCCCAAACAGGGTCTGAGTTGTTCGACAACTTACATTGGCGGAGAATATTTTTTAACATTGCTTTTCGGTCCTTGCAGCTATTATCGAACCAGGGTTTTGATTTTCTTTCTGGTGAGTATTTCCTGCTGGCTTGAGACATCTGGGCTTCGCGTGCAGCTTCAGTAATGGCAACGGTTAATTGCTTATTGAAGTCATCGACAGAGGCTGAATTCGTGTCAATCTTGATGAGAGACGACCAGGTAATATAATGACGAAAAAGATCAGCGTGATTTTCGTTCCATCGCAGAGGGCTTAGCTGCATAGAGTTTTGTTCAGCTTGAACCAGGTCCCCAATGAGGCCAGTGTGAAGTCTAATTGTTACGGGAAGATGATCAGAATTCGTAACCATGTCCTCCACCCACATGTCGGACACATGCTGAAGACCAAGGATATTAACCCATATTAGATCGATAATACTTTTTCCAGAGGCACTGCAGAATGTAAAATCACCATTTTGGTCTCCAGGCGACCTACCATTTAGTAGAATGAAGCCATTATCTTCCATGAATCGCATGACGAGCCTGCCCTGATGATTACAGACTTGGTCTCGCGAGTTACGGGTATTGTCGAGGTTTGTGTTAACAGTAACGTCTTCCTGCACTTGACTCTCGTTACCTACTCGGGCATTAAAGTCACCCCCAGCGATGAAGAGATTGAACTGATGAGTATGGAAGATATTGGATAGAGTGAGTTGTAAAAGATCAAGGGTCTCTTCTAAGTTCTCATTTGGTTTGAAGTAGATTAGGGCAGTAATAATAGTGAGATTGCTGGCAGACACTTTAGCAATGATCCAGGACTTAGATGAGGAAATTGTCGTTGATGTTAAGCTCGAGAATATGATCAGTCCGCCGCTGGGTCTGCCTTGTTTCAGTGGTTTTGTAGCTGGGACGAATATTTTTTTTGCAGATTGACTTAGACTTGAGAGGAAGAGATCATCGGTTGCCCAGGTTTCGGAAATACATATAAGACTGGCAGTGGAGGAGTTGATGATCTCTGGTATGTTTTGTTGACCGTGAGCATTCCAAAAAGTGATGTTGACTGTGCTGGCTGTGTTGAGGATATTTGCCTGATGTGATTGAATTACATTTAGCTATTGAGCGTGGGGGTTAAAATTTCTGTTGGTGTTGCTACTTGGGGAGTAGCTTGTATTTGTAATAGTATCTGGTGGAGGGTTAAAGTTAGTTTGTGAGGTGGATGACGATTGGATCAGGACTAATGCGTTTAAATTTTTATCCCATGTCATGGGGGTGCCGTTGACTATGAGCTTTTGAAAACCATGCTTGATATTATTACCTTCCGTTTTAAGTTTTTTGCCTTCATCTCTAAGCCTTTTTGCAATGTAACTCTCTTCTGGTGTAAGATCTGAGTTGATATATACAGGAACTTTCAGAAGTCGTTTGTTCTTGAGGATCTTCTGCTTTACTTCTTGGTCTTTCAGCACTACCTTGATGCTGTCTTTTGTCTTGTTGAGAATTGACACGCTTTCGATGCAGTTTTTGGTGTTAAGGTGTGTATCCAGAAACTCGGCGACCGTCTTTTTGACATTGGCCTCGTCGCAGGTTAGCCCGCGGATAATGATGTTATTTCTGCGTATGTGTTTTTCCACCGAATTAATACTATTATTGATGATTTGTCTCTCTAGGTCATGGACCGTTGATCCAGAGCCACTCGGTAGGTTTGCATTTGATTCTATTACAGATACTCTGGATTTAACATCTTCAAGCTATTTTTTTAATTCCGTGTTTTTTACTGTAAGCTCTTCTCTGAGAGCATTGATTTCTTTACTGCATGCCAAGCTAGATTCAGCTATCTTGTTTATTAGATCTTGTTTCATGCCAGACATATATGCTTGGTCAACTGCTCTCCAGCCTTGCATTTGCAGAAATAGAGCCTCAATGGTCATGGGAGGGATAGTTGGTGCATTGAATGTACTAAACAAGTTAGTAGCTGATGCGCTTGCAGCAGTGTTGCCAGTGTCCGGGTAATTACCCATTTTTCGGGTAATTCGATGTTAAATGGGTAAATGACCAAGCAATGGGACTCAGACGGGTAAAGTCGGGTAATGGTTGTTTTATTAAAAGGAGATCCACGCGAAGCAGTCAAGTTTTTAAAATTATCTGAAAATTTGTAAATTTCATCTACATAGCCTAATAATCAATAAAAAAATTAAAAAACAGTAGGTTTCCGGGATATTTAATGAAATAATTAAGTTTGAAAATTGTAATTTTTACATGTAGTTAAATGGAGATTTCATCAGCCGTGTATTTGGTTAAGAATTTAATGCAATTAACGATTTTAAAAAATTTTTCTTTTTATTGAATTTGATAGAAAATTTAATAAGCTTTCGATTAAAATAATAAAAAAAGTAGGTTTCCGGACGTTTTACGAAGATATTTTATATTTTTTATGAAAAATCACAAGAAACTTCCGTTCTTTAAATTCTTGTATTTGACTTGACAACACCGCTTGCGCAGTTACCCGGCGCATAAGTAACCACGGTTTTTTAAATGCTAGAAAATCTCTTAGTCATTTTAGTTAGACAGTAAACATATTTTTTTTAATAAAGTAAGTTAAAAATACAAAGATACTTGGGGCCAGTTTTTCAATCCGGGATAAAATTTTATCCGAGATAAAAGTACTGTCAATATAATGAAAAAAAAAAAAAATAAATAATTTAGCGACGTGATATTGCTCTCAGTTAGTTCTCCATGAATTTGGTCATTTATTTAAATAATAAATAAATATATCATAAAAATAATAACCTCTCATTGTGTGATTTAAATTATTTCAAATTAATTAACATAATTATAGATTAACAATAAATATGTCAAACGCAAGATATGAGCTCGAAGAGTTGGAGATTAATATTTCAATATTTCTGTGAACAGAACAGTTGGAGAATAATATTTCTGTGACATGTAGCTAATGTTTATTTATTTTAATTAAAAATAAGTGACTGATTCAGGGAGAACTACTTGTATGCAATATCACTGTGCTGAATTATTTATTTTTATTATTATATTAGCAGTACTTTTATCTCGGATAAAATTTTATCCCGGATTGAAAAACTGGCCCCAAGTATCTTTGTATTTTTAACTTACTTTATTAAAAAAAATATGTTTACTGTCTAACTAAAATGACTAAGATTTTCTAGCATTTAAAAAACCGCGGTTACTTATGCGCCGGGCAACTGCGCAAGCGGTGTTGTCAAGTCAAATACAAGAATTCAAAGAACGGAAGTTCCTTGTGATTTTTCATAAAAAATATAAAATATCTTCGTAAAACGTCCGGAAACCTACTTTTTTTATTATTTTAATCGAAAGCTTATTAAATTTTCTATCAAATTCAATGAAAAGAAAAATTTTTTAAAATTAAGCCATCGGCAACACTGGCTTGCAGTATCTTGTGACATTTCTGACTTGTGTCCGCTGCTCTGTTTCTTGGCAAGAGCTGGATCAGCCATGTGGATTACTTTGCCACGTGACATCGACGGTGGTGACGAAGATGAGCGTGAAACTTTATTCGGCGGTGAAGGACTGTCTTCAGTACGCTTGGGGTTAGACAGAGCACCGTTTTCTCTGGACCTTTTTAGGCTATTCTTCTTAAAGTAATCGGCAATATCTCCAAAAGAGCTGGATCTGAATTTTTTTAGCTGCTCTGCTTTAGGGGTACGGCCACGCCGAGAGTATTTTGGTGTTGGTTCAATGCTGGGTGTGCTAATCAGTGTTGAGCTGCCCTCTGGCAGGTTTATGTCTAAGCTTCCTGAGGCATCGGATACTCTGTCGGTACTATCACTATCGCTTCCCTCAATGTCGCTTATCACCATGCTCTATGATGTGCACTGAAAACCTAACCTGTCCGATCACGTTGTTAGCAGTTTGGACTTAAAAAACATGCACTTGCTCCATGTAAAGATAAGATTATTACGTTCAAAAGCGCAGCCAAATTTTTGGAAGAGATTTCACACACTTTCACTGGCTAAAGTTTAAACTTCGGTATCTAATATTATAAAAAACTACAGCAGGTTGCTTAAGTACGTCTGTACACTACAGCGACCTCACTCAAAACCCCACATTTTCAAAATACAAGCTTGAAATTGAGAAAGTTCAAAAGAAATTTCTAAAATTTTTATTTTTCAAGAAATACGGATATTATCCAGAACGAGGCATAGACTATCATATTCATTGTAATAAGGCTAATCTTTTAACGCTCGAAGCAAGAAGAATTTGCTCATCTGTCCTCTTTATGAAAGGATTATTTAGGGGCAACATTGAATGCCATAGCTTTCTATCCCTTGTTCAGATAAGAATTCCTCAGAAGAACACTAGGTCTTTCATACCTTTCCGAACCCCTCTAACAAAATCAAGTTTGGCAAAGTCTGCACCTCTTTATAGACCCTGGCGGTTTCGGCAACACGGTGAAAGCACAGTTGATTGACGGTTGTTTCATGGTCGTTTCACAGTCGTTTCACCGTATAAAGTCCGTTGTTACCGAGCGAGTTGTCAGTCTGCATCGGATACAGTTGTGAACGATATTCACCGTATATATTCTGTTAATTCACAGTGAATATCGTTCACAACTGTATCCGATGCAGACTGACAACTCGCTCGGTAACAACGGACTTTATACGGTGAAACGACTGTGAAACGACCATGAAACAACCGTCAATCAACTGTGCTTTCACCGTGTTGCCGAAACCGCCAGGGTCTATAAAGAGGTGCAGACTTTGCCAAACTTGATTTTGTTAGAGGGGTTCGGAAAGGTATGAAAGACCTAGTGTTCTTCTGAGGAATTCTTATCTGAACAAGGGATAGAAAGCTATGGCATTCAATGTTGCCCCTAAATAATCCTTTCATAAAGAGGACAGATGAGCAAATTCTTCTTGCTTCGAGCGTTAAAAGATTAGCCTTATTACAATGAATATGATAGTCTATGCCTCGTTCTGGATAATATCCGTATTTCTTGAAAAATAAAAATTTTAGAAATTTCTTTTGAACTTTCTCAATTTCAAGCTTGTATTTTGAAAATGTGGGGTTTTGAGTGAGGTCGCTGTAGTGTACAGACGTACTTAAGCAACCTGCTGTAGTTTTTTATAATATTAGATACCGAAGTTTAAACTTTAGCCAGTGAAAGTGTGTGAAATCTCTTCCAAAAATTTGGCTGCGCTTTTGCTCAAATCTTTAATAAAGAATTCAAATTTTGGAATTACGGTGAAAATATTTGACGTGCAGAAAATATGTTTATAGTTAAGTTGAAATTAAATTATAATTTATTAATTAATTGTTGAATAAAATATCTTCCGATTAAAAAAAAAAATAAAAAATAAATTTTTCACAATCAAAAAGTATTATAGTTTCTCATTTAAAACTATGAAAAAAAATTCAACACTTGTAAGCCATAAACTCTTCTGAAAAGTATTGAAATGATGAATCTCTGTTGATTGCCTATAGTCTGATTAATTTTTTATGATTTTACTTTGAAATAAACAAAATTACAATAATTTAATATTTTTTTCAAATTTTTCATCCCAATTATTTATTGAAAATTTCTGATTTACCTATCTTTTTATACACTTTGAGTATTTTTAATGAAATAAAAAAAAATATAATATTGTCAGCACTTTTTCATCGTTGACTAGTAAAACATTCCTGACTTACCGACATTATACGCTCGTTTCACGGTCGTTTCACCTACAAACTACCGTGCAATGACAGACGATCGATCGATGATCTACGATTTTTACTTAGGTAAAAAATCGGAGAAGTCAAGTAAAAATTTGGTTTTTCGACGGGTGAAGTATGATAACTATACAGAATAAAAATCATAAAGTAACAGTGAAAATCGTTCACAGCTATACTCATCGTTCACTGTCAAACGACGGTCGTTCGACAGTCAAGTGACGGTTATTCGACGATAATTTGTCTACACTGTGAATTGACGGTGCTTTCACCGTCGTTTCACGATCATTTTACCGTGACTACGAATCCGCCAGGGGAATCACAACTATTTGTAACTATCTATGCGAAAATGACGTTCAGCTATTTGACTTTTTAGGGTTCAATCAACCTCTGACGATTAGTCACCTTTCATCCTTACTAGTCACTCTGCTACCTAATCGATTAATGAATTAATGATCATTCTCAGACGTTCTGATATAAGTTTTCTTGGCTTAAGATTGACTCTCAGTAATTTTTCTTTTATGTTGTTTTTCCTTAATTTCTTAAACTATTAAATAATTAAGTAGTAGAATGATCGATGATTACTAGGACATATGTGCCACAATTGTTTAATGTAAAATGTATTTATATTGTATTATTGTAGAATATTTAAACTATGTACATGATTTGAGTGACCCTGTTATTGGCCGAATGGCTGTTGGGTTTTTTTCTAAATAAATAAATAAATAAATGAAAATGCTAGGTCTATGTGAAAGGAATAAAAATTTAATAAAATTTTTACCTGGATAACTAAACGTGGACTGTTTTGGAATTGACAAAATGGTAAAAAATTGAAATTAGAGGACATATATGAATTTGAATCAAAAGCTTTAGTATCCCGTACTGACAGTATTGAACCCCCAGATACTTCCAGAGCATAGTCAATATAATGAATGTCTTCAAAATTCGTTGTGTTAAGTCCCTTTTTGATTTTATTTTCAATATCTGTCAACTGAGAAACACAAATTTGTGCATCTGAAACGATTAAAAAAATTATACAGATAGTTGCCCCTGTTCAAAAAAGAAAATTAAAAAAAAGTGTGTGTCAGCTCCGACGCACGACTGGAGTTTACTCTTTACGGACGATTATAAAATAAACAGATTAATGAATAAGGGTAAATGAATGTATTTCTTATATTACTTAGAGTATGCATGACACATCTGTAGATTGATTTTTATTCATTGAGTAATTTTCTCAATTTTGAAATAAATATCAATTGATATAAATCTATGTTTATATCAATTATAAATAAAATATAAAAATAACGATAAAACCTCCGCAAGTTGACAGTTGTTGTAGGTTAATATCAGGTGAATGCAATATGCAATTGAAAGTAAATATATTAATTATCGTATTCGGCTAATTAAACCTACCCCGGGGTAAAACAAACGAATAGCAGCTGACTGTATCTGAAGTTTTCAAGATTTAAAAATTTAATTTGAGGTCCAATCAAATGCTTTTGTATTCATTGCCCCGGGGTAGGTTTAGTAAGCCGAACACGACAAATGTTTATTTGAATCGAAAATAATAAACGAAAATCCCCTGAAAGCGAAAGCAACCTGAAAAAATTCGATCTTTAGCGAAGATGGAATGCTCCATCTCGACTTGAATTAGTTTAAAACTAGTTAAAAAGAATTAGGAAAACGGTTGACGATGCGTCCATCTCCT